AACTGTTGTCGTATGTACGGCCACGCCGGTGGACTGTGCACGAGCTATGTGCAACCACGTACTACGATGGGCTGCTATGGACTGCTGCAGCGTTCGGAGGGTGATTGCATAGTGATGCGTGACTGCAGCTAAAGTGAAGAAGGGGCTGTTGCAGCAGGGGCACCGAGAGTAGGGCAATACAAGAAAGGGGGGGGGCTATCTGTTGCGGATTGGGAGTTTGTCAGGGGAGTCAGACTCTGCTGTTTGACCTTGGGAACTGACCAAGTTGTTATATCAGGCCATCATTGTGGCGCCCTCAGGCGTGGAAGACATGAAGGCCCTCTCATGCAAGTCTAAGTACACCCCTCTTGTATCTGAGAGTCTTAATGCTTCTTCTTCTACCCTTCTTACTCTCAGTCTAGTCCATCGGTTCGGAGAGGAAGGCGGCAGGCGGGATTGCAACCCATCATCCGCACCAAGGCCTCTGTGGGAGGTTGCCCCACTGATTGCGGAAGCCCTGCTGGAACTCAAGAGGGGTTCTGGAGGCAGGGAACTCAGAGGTAACTCTTGCTTCTCCTTGTAAATCCAGTATAACCCCTATCTACACTCCTCCCGACGTATTGGCTGGTTACGATGAGTGCAACCTCTACTTTGACTTTTTTGGATTGACTTTCAGGACATAGATCAGACTAACTAAAGGAATGTTTGTATAAAGGCAGTTTCAGTTTTTGTTTGTCTGAAAGCAGACTGTGACAAGGGGTTGCATCGGGGGGAAGGTTGAGAGGAAGGCAGTTTTGGCTTGTGACTGAACGGGTCTTATAGGGTCAGGCATTGTTTCTAAAATGAATGGCTTGATTGCTGTGTTTTGTTCTGTTTTCTGACGAACCAAGCATTGTTTCTAAGATGAATAGCTTGGTTGCTGTGTTTCTTTAATTGTGTCAGACATTGTTTCTAAGATGAATGGCCTGGCTACTTATTTTTTAGCGGTATTGCTTGCTTGACTTTTGAGGGCCAGACATTGTTTCTAAGATAAATGGTCTGGCCGCTGTTTTACTTGGGTGGTTTTTGAACAGTCTCTGGGTCAGACCCAGGGTACTCTGCTTTTTTTGTGTGCTGAAAATGGGAGAGTTGAGCATTGTTTCTAAGATGAATGACTCATCTCTCCTTGATTGTTTTTATTTTGAGGGAGGATTGAGGGTCAGAGGACTAGATATTGTTTCTAAGATGAATGGACTAAGTCTGAGGCCTCAGGACTATAATAAGAACGAAGGAATAGGATTCTCTATATTGTGATATATATATATGTACTTATACATGAACAAGGCTAGTCAGGCATTGTTTCTAAGATGAATGGCCCGACTATAGCCTTATCACAAGCGAAGAGAGTATAATCTAGAGTTATAACTAAAGGTAACCTGGGCAGGTTGAGCATTGTTCTTAAGACGCATGACTCAACCCTACGCCCTCCTTTTGAAGACTAAAGTGCAGAAAGGTATATATAACTTGGCTATTTAAACAGTTCAGGGCGACTAAGCATGGTTTCTAAGATGAATGGCATAGTCATGTGCCCAATGAAGAGAAAAGTAGTTGTGCAACCTGTTCGTGTATAAATAAGGCAAAGGGTTGGCATTGTTTCTAAGACGAATGACCAATCCCAATGCCCTATGTAAGATGCGTGTAAAAAGTTAAATAATTGAAAGGCTATGAACTAATGTCTGTGGAACCAACTTGGGGATGGTGAGAGTACTTACTTTTGTGGTTTGGCCTGCATGTGACTGAGTGGCATCACCACCTAGTCTGAGTTTGAGTTGATAGGTAGTTGCTCGCGATGGGCTAGAGCTATAGGAGTTAGACTCAATTCCTGCATTTTCTGAGATAATTTTTTTTACTTAGTTCGACTTCTCCAGTTATCTGAGATATTTTCTCATACTTGGGCTTGTATAAATCTTGGTAAACCACTTTTCCTACGGGAAGCGCTGCCGAAATTTCTGCAAATCCAAGAAGTTAGACAAATCTCTGACTTTTCAAAAGTTCAACTGTTTGAATCATATACGGATTAGTAAAAATCTGGGAAGTCTCCCTTTCTAAAGGGGGTGCTGTCCAAATTTTTACTAATTCAGGGAGTTAGATAAAATTGGACTTTAGAAAGTCAAATATTATTCCTGTTTTTATATTCAGGCTTATATAAATTCTGGAAGGGCAGTTTTCCTACGGGAAGCGCTGCCGAAATTTCCTTAGTTTAGAGGAGTTAGATTATATTATGACAGGTGGCAGAGTTGGCAGCCCATTTTGTATAGGGAAAATCAGCCAAAGGGCTACTTTTTCTCTGAACCCTGACTTAGGACTAGGCTCAGGCCTAGTTGGCTACCAGAGGGTTAGGTGGGACCACCATACAGAAGACAGTTTGGATAAGGCTTACAGGGTTAGTCTTGGGCGTTGACCTGCCTTGTGTTACAGGCCAGCTTGACCAACCTAATTCAGGACTTGGACTAGGTTCAGTTGATCCCTTGAGGATCATCTGGTGTTATCATTGATAACAGGTCGGTTACCGATTCTTCGGTCCACGACTCAATTCTCACTCACTCCCCATACTCAACCTAAAAAGGCTTTGGCCCTAGTGATCTTTCTCTTTGTTAAGGGCTTCACCCGAACTTTTATTTAAATCGTTATTTAATAAAAGTAATGAGTACTTAATTACGGTTGGTTGGTTGGAGGTTGGGGCTTGCATGACTAAAGCAAGGAGTATGAGTATGGAGGTTTGGTTGGAGTTGACCCCGTGTAGTGTGTGGATTTTTGCTTGGCTCCTTGTTATGATTGCAGGTATGTACTGTGGCATGAGTTATCGGATCGGACTGCCTGTGATCTCATATATATCGTCAAATATGGCGATGAGGAGTCCCATGGTGGTTGTGAGACGTGATTGTCACCTATCTATTCCCCTTTATACATATATGTACGTATGTATGTGTATCTACGTGGGGTATTAGCGCGGCCTGGGGTGCCCGCGTACTAAGGACCTAATCGAGGGTTGGGGTGAATAGAAGGGAGGGGAAGACCCTCTCTATTTTCTCTTGAAGAATTCTTAGTCGGGCGTTAGCCCCGAGCTTGGAACAGGATGGTCCTCGCCCGGGACGACCCTGGTCCCGAGCCTGACACTAAGGGGGGGGTTTCCTCTAATAAGCGTTAAAGGTACTTGTTTCCTTTCCTCGTTGTGATTTATCTTGGTGGAACGATAAAATTCCGGGCGGAAGGCTTAGCGTGTCGCCGGCGATGCGCCAAACAACTCACCACCACTCCAAACTCCTTCCTGCCCTAGGAGCCGTCTTATCCCACACCCTTTGGGACACCTTAGGGTGCAGAAGACGAAAAGGCCCTCAGCCTGGTTTTGCGCCCGCTAAAGGGTTACCTCCCCTTAGTGTGCGCTTCAGCCAACGCCCGAGCGTCGGAAATAACCCCAAGGCTCAAAATGGGTCATTTGGGTATAGGCACCACATAATGCGCCGCCATCACAGATACCTATGTGGAGCTGCATAGTGAGATGGTATGTGTAGGTCCAACGCCCACGCGATCTTATATTAGGTCCGCGCGCGCAGCACCCGCCGACTCTCGCACTAAAAAGTTATGGGTCAGGCGGCGATACCGCGAGCGAGACGCGGTCAAAAGACTCGGGGTTTTGGTATCGCGAAGCGGCACGTGGGCGAAGGACTAGCCCTAGTCGACCCATGGGAACCTGTGTACGGACGTCATTTGCTCGGACATCGGGTAGCCTAGGGGTCTGGGTTCGGACCTCCTCCGCGTGCGCGTCGTTTGAGTCCGCCTAACCCTTTCATTTTTGGAGGCCACCAAACCAATGTGAGTAGGTGTAAATTCCTCTTTTGAGTTTTCTCAGTTGGACGTTATAGTCCGTGGCAGCCGCCAAAGTCAAACCCCTTGATGTTCGACCGCCACGACAACTTAAAGCTGTCTACTCAACCCCTCTGCACAGGGTGCAGAAGAGGGTGTAGGCTCCAACCGCACATGGCAGTTGTCTGGTGTAGAGAGATTACCCCTCAAGGCGCTTGTCAGTCGACACCTGAGTGTCGAACGCGACCCTCGAGATTAACGAGGGCCACGTGAGTATGGGTACTACATAGTACGACATCATTGCGACCGCTTGCGTATGCTTGCATTGCAAGTCAATATGAGTAGCCCCGCATCCGCGCGATATTTATACTAAGCCTCGCACCTGACGCCTATCCGATTTCCACATCGGGAAGTTATGGGATGGCCACCAAGGGGCTAGGAGCGTTGTCGCGTTGTTTGTGTCATGTCGTTTCGTGTGTGTGTGTGTGTGCGTTCCCTTTTGTGTTCTTAGAGTAGTGTATGTGTCCTAGCCGACCAACGACGAGCCGCGCTTGGGACTTCAGCCCCCCAACATGTCGGTTCGCGTGCGGGTCCGATGGGCGTGCTACCGCGCGTACCCCCTATGCTCCAGCGAACGAGAAACGCCCTCAGCTGGTCCACCTCGACGATTGCAACCGAGTAGTTTTCGTACTGTGGACTTGTAGCTCGGCGGGGATACGCCCACCGAAGGGAGGTGACAGCTCCCGTAAGGTGGAGGTAAGTTGTGCCTCGCGTAGGCCCTATCCTGTCGTAGGGGCTCGTGAGAGGTATGGCTGGCGCACTCGGCCGGAGCGGCCTAAGGAAGCTCCATTTTTGTGTTCATGACAAGGTTAGTCCAACTCCTGCGTGACGCGGCCGAGAGGGTCCTGCGCTGCCATGAGCGGTGCCGGACCGATGCGCTTGACAGGTGGCGCTGTTGCCGGGGATAACGGAAGCCTACCGTTGTCCCTGGTGGAACGACATCCGGGTACAAGTGAGCAAATAGGCATAAGAGAGCGATGAGTGTGATTGAAGTGAGAGGTGAGTGATGAGGGACTAAGTATAAAAAGGGGAAGTTAGCACATGTGTATGTGTATTTGGCTGTCCGCCCGGTCCTAGCAAGAGCGTAAAGGGTGGCAACGCTCACGTCAAGGGTGAGGCTAGGTAGGAGATGCGGGTTAGACCAGGTTGGACTAGGATGCTAAGTAGGTGAGTGTCTTTGGTTTTCTCTTAACAGGAAATTGGAAAAGGAGGCCTACCAAGATGCCGGAGGATGATAGCGCTGGAAGGGTCTTGACCCTTGAGGACCTCATCGCAGCCCTAGATCGACATGAGAGGACCCCGAGTAATGTTCCGAAGGTTGAGACCTTCCACTTTGATGGGGAAAGGGTCTCAGTCTGGCTAGACCTGGTGGACCAGGCAATGGTGGGATTGTCAGATGAGGTGAAATTCCAGCGTATTATGACGTACGTGCTCCATAGGCACCATCAGGAGGTGCAAAAGGTTGTGGATGTCGCCCATGGCAGTTGGGCAAGATTCATGGAGAGCATGCTGCGCAAGTATCGGTTGGGTGATGGGTTGCTTACCATCTCAGATCTTGAGGGAATGAACAAGGATGACTTTACCATGATAGGGGCCTTCGTACAAGAGTTTAAGAAGAAGGCAAGGAAAGTTCACGGGATCTCTGAGGAGAGGCAATGCGCTATCTTTCTAGGGCTGCTCACTGGGTCAGAGGCAGCCGAACTGACGAGTCATGGAGCAGGCAGCGCAAAGCTTACTTGGGCCACCATCGACAGAGGAGTGGAGGATGGGAGTTTAGACCACGTAGAGCAGCATCAGATGCGCCTGCAAAGGAGGAAAAGGAAGGAAAGGGACGCTACTGCATCAGGGACCCCGAGGGTAAAAAGGATTGTCACTGATGTACTTGCGGCGTTAGGCTATGGCCAGGATGCCGAGGTGCAGAAGAAAGCAGTAGCCGTGGTGCAAGGCCGAGGGAAAGAGGTGGGGGATAAAGGCGCCGGGCAAGAGGATTACGGCGGGGAGGAGACGGGGTCACAAATCCTTACCAAGGCCCAGCGGAAGCAACACAATCTGTTGCTGGGTGGCCATGGGTCTGGCAAAGGGCAGCCCCCCAGGCAGTTGCCTTATCGCCAGTAGCGGCCGTAACCGCGCCCGTATCGGCAGGGCCGGCGCCAGTTGGACCGCCTCCGGCTTGTGGACATTGGGTACCATATTGTCAAGCGGCACCCTGGGCCAGCTATGATAGTCATTGCACCTCGTGTGGAGGGGGCCAAACCCATACTGGACAGATGGTTTCATTCTCAGGTCCGTCAACGAGTGCAGGGCCGCCAAGTTTCCCGGCGACGCAAGGCCAATTCACGGCCCAGCCTCCCCCCTCACAGCAAGCATCGCAGGCTAGTGTGGCGGGAGGAGGAGGCCAAGGGCAAGGAGGATAGTCGGGGACAAGGAGGCCGAGGGGGTGGCGGACGGGGCCGAGATGGCGGGGGACGTGGCGGTAGATGGAACAGCCAAGGGGGCCAGGGCCAAGGTGACCAGGGCAGTCAGCAAGGAGGCCAAGGGTATGGGAGACCCCGCTTCGACTGGCGGAACGCGACCTGCTGGCATTGTGGCGTTGTAGGCCACACGATTCGGTCCTGCCAGCAACGACCGGATGATGAGCTTGCGGGCCTGATTTCCTCCTGTATGGATGGGGATATATACGACAAGTGGGGGGAACACATTGAACCCAAGACCCCGGGAGGAATCAGGCAGGAGGCCCTCAGGCGGGCGGCGGCAGGGCCATCGGCCGCCTCGACCATGTTTAGAATGTGGCAGGAGAGAGAAGACCCGGCCATAAGAATCGAAGAGATCACGGGGGATAGTGAGGAGGTTACGCAACGATTAAAGGCCGGGGCCATAAAGGAAGAGTCGATAATTGTTGAGTCAGATGACGAGGGGAGAGAGGATGAAGGGGAGCCGACCGTAACCACCATGGAAAAGATGGAGGATTTGGTAGAAAAAATGGGGAGGTACCAGCGGAGGCTGAAAGAGCTATGTGATGAAATCCAAGGGTGGAGAGCCGACCTCCCAAAGGTCTTCCTCTATGAGACCGGGCCGGGGCCGGCAGCTGGACAGGAGAGTAGTCCCGGGGTTGTCGTGGCAGGGTCTGGCCCCAGGTCAGGAATGATGTTCAGGCCGCCCACCCCGCATGGGCGGGCGCCGCAAGCAACTCAAACCAGGAGCCAAAGTAAGGCGGGCCCTAGTCAGCCACCAAGCCAAGCGCCAAGTCAGGCACCTCCACGGAAGAGACTTGAGCCTGAGCGTAGAAAAGAGGTGGTCGAGGTCCAGGAAGAGAAGGAAGAGGAAGATGACACGGAGGATGAGAGGCTTCGTCAAGAGGAGGATCGGCGGGCGGAGCAAAGAGCCCAGAGAAGGGAGGCCCAGGAGAAAGCTGAGCGAGGTCTACAGGAAGGTGTGCCCAGGAAGAGAAAGTACACCGTCAGGTTGGAGGAGGACTTTGACGTGGAAAGGATGGTGGACCGGCTCCTTGAAGGTCATAACGACCTTATGAACTTAAAAGATACTCTGGCGTCCGCACCAAGACTCCGGGAGGAGTTGAAAGGGCGATTGTCTCGAAGGTTAGTGCCCAACGTGCATTTGAGCGCCGTCCTGCCCAGGAAAGTGGGGTGGACACAAGCTGGGATAAGGATGGACTGGAAGTGTGCAACATGTGGGGTAGTGGATTTGGTAGTGAAGGAAAAGAAGTGCGTGGCAATGATGGATACGGGCACTGAAATGAACATTATCCGGGAGAGAGATGCGCTCATGCTTGGAATGGAGATCGGCCATGCGGATCACGGTGTGCTGCAAGGGGCTAACTGCAAGGCAGTTTTTTGCGGCACCGCGTCGAATGTGATTATAGAGATTGGTAAGGTGCGAGCGAGGACGTGCTTTTTCGTCATGCCGAACGTGGACTACCCTATCCTTCTGGGCAGGTCGTTCATGTGCAGGACAGAGACCCTGATCTTCAATAAGCACGATGGGACGATGATATTGCTTTTGAGTGACCCAGCCTGTGGGAACTACGAAGTTGTCACCTGCCGGAACACGGGGCCAGGGAGCGAGCGGAATAGGCCTAATCCTGACTCGTTCACTTATGTGGAATCGGAGAACGAGCGGCGGAGGCTCGCGGAGGAGTCCGAGGAGGAAGGTGGGGCGGAGGTGCTGTCACTAAGCCTTACAGACGTAAATAAAGCTATGGAGATCGTGGCAGCACATGAGATGGCGGACCCAGAGGCCATCAAGGCCTTGCGAGAGCGGGTTTTGAAATGCCCACAGGCAGGAGAAGTGGAGCTTATCTATCGACTTCCTGGAGGAAGAAAAGGGTCTGCGATGGCACAAGAGTAAACAACAAGCCGACCTTTTTTAGGGGACGGCTTAAGCAAGGCGCCCAAAGGCGGTACAAAACAGTAGATAAAAAGTGTCGCCCTGTTCCCGTGCTCGTTACGGAAAATGAGGAGGCTTATTACTGGCGGGAGCGAGGATTGATACGGTGGATGCAAGAGCAGGCACTGAAGGATCCATGTCGTATCAATGATGGAAATGAAGGAAAGCTGATAGTCGGGTAGCCAGGCTTTCTTTCGCCTCAAGAAAGGATGCTGATGGTGCAGCTATTGAAGAAAAGGCATCGCGCATACGCCTTTAATGATGACCAGCTGGGGAGGCTGGATGTGAACAAGATCCAGATGATCCGGATCCACACCGTCCCCCACGAACCTTGGAATCTAAGGGGTGCGCGATACCCAAACCCTGATGAGGAGAAGATGGTGGTGGATTATCTGGATGGCAAGATGCGCACGCATGTTGCCGGCTACTCTAGTGGTCCGTATGCTTCCCCTTGGTTCTGGTTTATTAAGCCGAACGGGATGCTACGGTGGGTACAGGATCTGCAGCGACTAAATGCAGTAACGGTGTGAGATGCGGGAGGCTTGCCGAACGCAGATGCACTGTCAGAGTCATGCGCAGGGAGGCCTATAATCTCACTTATAGACCTCTATTCCGGGTACGATCAGTTTCCTGTGTACCCGCCCGATCGGCCGGTGATGGCAATGCACACGCCAAGGGGGCTAATCCACATGAATGTGGCCCCCCAGGGTTTGACGAATGCGGTGGCAATGGTGCAAAGACATATGATCAGGGCCAAACAGTCTGTCCGCACATCACTCAGCCCTATATCGACGACTTGGCGGTCAAAGGGCCAAAGGAGAAAGAGGAGGACGAGGTGCAGCCCGGAGTGAGACGTTTTGTCTTGAGGCATATCCAGGATCTCGACCGAGTCTTGGGTCTGCTAGAGGAGCACAACCTCACTGCAAGTGGGCCAAAATCCAAGCACTGCATGAGAGAAGCCACCATCCTGGGGTTTGTCTGCAACGAAAAGGGCCGGAAGCCAGACGTGAAGAAGCCAGACAAAATTTTAGAGTAGCCGGTGCCTTTCCAGACCATAACGGGTGTGGGAAGCTTTCTTGGCACTTGCGGATTTTGGACGAGCTTCGTGAAAGACTTCGCCGCCAAGACTGAGCACTTAAGGAAGCTGGTGCGCCAGGACCAGGAGTGGGTTTGGGGCGAAGACAAGGAAGAAGCGGTAGCCAGGATGAAGGGAGAGTTCAAGGAAGGAGGATTGGTGTTGGGAGCGCCAAATTATGAAGGGACTGAAGAAAAACCATTCATCATCGAGACAGACGCTGGGCCGACTGCATTGGGAGGGGTTTTGATCCAAGCGGATGCCGAAGGAAAGGAGAGGCCGATGAGATTCGAAAGCCATACTCTTAACACGACTGAGAGGAACTACTCTCAGTTTGAGAAGGAGACGCTTGCGGTACTCCATTGTCTAAGGATCTTCCGAAATTATGCCTTCGTCGGGAGATTTATATTGAGGGTGGACCCTACGGCGCTGACATGCTCTTTGAAGAATTATACACCATCTGACCCAACCGTCGCTCGATGGTTGACGTACATTTAGATGTTTAATTTCGAACTGGAGAGGATCCCGGGAAACAAGAATAGAGCTGATGGCCTGAGCCGCGTCAACTGGGTCAGTGCGGATCAGGGGTCGACCGAAGATACCCCGCCAATCGACGGGTTCCTGGATCAGGAAGAAGATGTGCGACTCCATATAAACAAGTGGGCGCTGTGAGTACCCAATTGTGTTAGCCATCCCATATGGATAGCACCAAGAGGATATGAGCGGAAGGCCGACTTAGTCCTTAAGCCATTTCAGGAAGAAGATCCGTGGGGAGGCAAGAACACCCAGTGGATGATGAAGTTGGCGCTGGCAGGGACACATGGCTTGGTGGAAGAGGTGAGGACAATAGAGGAAGGGCCTACTCAAATAGAGGAGCATGAGCAACTAATGTGAGGGATGTATCTGCTCACTAATACGCTCCTGCAAGGAGACTTCGACCGGAGAGGCTCGTTTAGCCATGAGGAGAATGAAATCCTAATTCCTGAAAACCAGGATGACGAGTTCGAAGAGGGAGAGATTAAGGAGGCGTTTCGGGCGGAGGAGTATGATGGGATCTACCGGGAGTTGGGGTTGCTCCTATCATGTGAGATGAGAGATAAAGACGCAAGTGCCAAAGCGCAGAAGATGAGGCACCTCTACGTAGTAAGAGATGACCATCTGTTCATAAAGCGGCAGGTCGGGAACCCCAAGAGGATCATATGCGGGAGGAACGGACATATTGATATCATAGCAGCCCTGCACGATGGTATAGCAGGAGGGCACAGAGGGATAGGTGCCACATGCACAAAAATAAGCGAGCTCTACCATTGGGATGGAATGCTGACGATGGTCATCAAGTACTGCCAATCCTGTATACCTTGCCAGGAGAGGTCAGCGCAAAGGCCGGGAGAGCCCCTACACCCAAGGTTGGAAAGGGAAGTGGGTGCGGTTATGCATCTAGACCTGTTGTTTATGCCAGTTGGGGAAAATGGGTGCAATTACGTCTTCGATGTCCGGGATAACCTTACTGGGTTTGTGGACGGTCGGGCTATCCGGACGAAGACTGGCCCAGTTTTGGCAAACTGCATCGAGGAATACTACCTGCTCTATCCTTTTGTCAAGGAGTTCGTGATGGATCGAGGATCGGAGTTTACCTGCAATGAGGTGCGGACCCTGCTTGCAGGGTATGGGGTAGTGGCCAACTATACTACGGCCGCGCACCCTCAAGCAAACGCTCCTGTGGAGAGGGGGCACAGTACCATCATGAATCTCTTGGCTAAGTGGACAGAGGGCAAGCCTGGTCAGTGGCCGAAATTCCTGCGAGCGGCTTTCTTCGTGGAGAATGTTACTGTGAAGAGGACTACCAAGTATGCGCCAGCCACGCTATGGTACGAGAGGCACGCCACCTTCCCTATAGAAAGCTTTATGAAGACGTAAAGACGCCAGGCCGCTGGTCAGGTAGAGAGAAGCCGCATGGAGGATAAGATGAGGTGGGATCAAATGGCCCGGGTGCGGAAAGAGCCCTTGGCAGTGGGGGATAGTGTACTATTATACGACTCATCCCTGGAAAAACAGTGGTCAAGGAAACTTGATAAAAGGTGGTTGGGGCCCTACAAGATTGTGCGATGCGGCGAATTCGGGGCATACCAGATCGAAGAGCTAAACGGCACGAAATGGAAAGATTGGGTATCCGGGACAAGGCTAAAGAAGTTCGTGGCCAGGGAATAGGTAAAGCCGCAATCCCTCCCAGTAGTTGCGATCCCTCCCAGAGTAGATCCTCATCCTAAGTATTGCATGCCATGATTGGAAGAGAAGAAAGGCTTGATGTGTCTGAGATTGGGTGTATATTTGCACTGACGACTGCTGAACCCATATGCTGATCCTGTCGTGTGCCTGTTTGTTTCGTCTCACCTGATGTGCAGGTCTGACTTTTTGAAGGCAGCCATACAGAGGGGCGGGCGGGGCACGCGGCCACGACAAAGACCTCTCGGGGCATCCGGAGGGAGGAGCGGCATGGGCCCTTCAGGAGAGAGCCTACACCCATGTTTGATGACGACAACATCGAGCTCTTCCTGGATGCCTACCGAGAGCATGCAGCCTAGAGAGGATGGGACGTGTCTGAGAGGGTACATTACTTGAGGAAAGTTGGGAGGTTCGAGGAGCCCATTGCGCAAATCAGGGAGGAGGCCCTGACTTGGTCGGAGGTAGAAGCGAGGAGGCAGAGACTGAGAGCTTCGCCTTTGGGGAATGATGGGCTACCTATCCGCTTGGAGGAAGGGAACGTGGAGGAATTCATCCCGGCATACGAACAGTATATGAGCAATTAGGGGGTTCCGAGGGATGAGTGGGTGCAGACGCTACTCATTTGGACCAGAGGAGCGGAGCGTCCGCTGGCGAGACAGATTCAGGGTCGGGCACGAGATTGGGATGATTGTCGGGCTCAGCTGAGGGTGGCGTTTCGGCGACCTGAACCAGAGAGGCCAGAACCAAGGGTTGATAGAAGGCGGCGAAGTAAGAGGTTAAGGGATTTGGAGGCAAGAGAGCCGGTGACGTCGAGAGGTGGTCGGAAGGCCCTGGCGCAGCGGGAGGGAGGACAAGCAGGGCCGGCTAGGGCAAGGGAGTCCTTCCCTGCTTGTGGCCTCAGGCAGGTAGAGTTCCATCAAGTCGCAGAGGATGACCTACTAGGGCCCTCGCCACGGGCACCAGAGCGGAGGGAGAGCGAGGTACCAACAGCGCCGTTCAGGAGTCTGGAGGCCCATTTGGACGCGTCCCAGTGGGAGGCCCCTTCAACAGGAGAGAGCCCTACGGACCCATTAGGAGGGGAGCAGACTCGCCTAGAGCCTGAGGCGGAGCACTCAGATTGAAGGGGGTAGGTACGGAAGATGTCATTGTGGTAGAGGGTGACACTCCTCCCGGCTCCCCAACTCAAGCTCAGGTGCGGCGGTCTTGGCCAGAGGGTGTCCCGGAGCTAGACAGCCAGGAAGCCCTAGTACCACCACCAGAGGCCGCTATGCCACCCAGGCAGGAGGTTGAGGCGAGAGGGCCGGTGGAGAGGTGGAGGACGGAGCCCCGCCTGGTTGTCGACTCACGTTGAGCCGCGCACACAGCTGAGCACCCTGACATTGAGGGGCCCAGCCTGGTTGGGCCATCATCGGGGCCAGCACGTGCTGAGTTAGAGGGGGGCTCGCAGGCTGCGACCGGGGAAGTCACGGAAGCGGGCACAGGAAAGAAGCCAGACGAAGCCACCTAGGCAAAGCGTGCCAGGGTACGAGCTCGCCTTGAGGACATACATGAGCGAAGGGACAGGATGGAGGCCGCAGGGATAGCGCCAACGCCACCAGTCGACCCTAAGACATGTGAGCAAAGGATTGACAAGCTGTGGGCCAGATATGAGAGTCGGAGAGAGACAGCTCGCCGAAAGGCACAAAAGATGGGTCAGACAACTGAGGGTGCAGATGAGGCAGTAGAGATTGGGGAGCTGGGTTTTGCCGCCACTAGAAAGGCCATCGAGTGGGTGGACAAGGAGATAAAGCAGACATCCATCGAGGCGTTTCAAAGGTACTCCCTGCTTAGTGATGAACTGGCCCTCAGGAAAGACGAGGTGGAACAACTGACTGCCCAACTCGCAGAGGAGAGGGCCGAAAACAAGGCCTGGCAAACTCGCCTGGAGGCAAAGGAGGCTGAGTGGGGGACAAAGCTCAAGGAAATGGCGGCCGCAGTGGAAAGACTTGCCGCTACCAAGGTGATCGACTGGACTGAGCAGAGCAGGTACGACATCCAAGGCAAGGGGGTGCAAGGGCTGTTTGGCCAAGAGGAGGCAGCAGAGGCATCTCGGCAAGAAAAGTTGGGGAAGGTATTTCTGGGCCCGACTGAGGTAGAGGCAAGAAAGGAAGCCTACAAGGGATGCTTTGAGTTCAAGGCTCCCACTGAGCTGGCTTCGCAGCAGGAGGCCCCTACTTCGGCAAATACCCCTATGGAGGCACTGAACCAAGAACCCCAACCTGCACCGGTAGAAGAGGGGGAGGCTGAGGAGTCACTGGCGATCCTTCTGGACTTACAGGAGGGGGCTCTTACTGGAGCGGTGGAGCCTCCACAGTCGGAGGCACAAGGGGAGGAGCCATCACGCCTGGACGAGTCGGTTGCTGCCATGGAAGTGGATATGCCACCAGAAGAGCCTCAACAGCAGGGGACCTCGGAGCACGAGCCAGAGATGGGGGAGTTGAGGGCGCAGCTGGGCTCGTGGGCCACTGGGATCGATTCGGGAGGACCAACTATTGATCAGCCACAGCAGGAAGCCATGAGCCAGCCCACTAGGGCCGCTACCTCCCAGACTCCGAGGCCTCGCGAGAGTGAGGAAGCGGCCATGGCAGAGGAAATCCGCAAGGGAAGGTCGTTGAGGTTGGATACCCCTGAGTACCAACCCGAGGGAGAGTTGCAGCGAGGGGAGTCAAGTGCCCAGGAAATTGGAGGGAGAGCTAAAGGACCGTGGCACCTACCCCAGAGTCATGAAGCGAGCAAGGAGGAGGAAGAGGTGCCTCCGTCATCAGGAACCCAGAAGAAGAAGAAAAGATTTCAGAGAAAGTCGGAGGCCATGTGTTTCTATTTCCTGAATGGTGCACATAGGGCTCTAAAGTGTCCTAAGTTCCTTAAGGACAAGGCTGAGGGGCGGGTTACTGAGGAAGATGGTAAGATGTATGATAGACAGGGCCGAGTGGTAGAGAGGGCTCCGGATGGGGGTCGAACCCAGTTGTATAGGCAAAACCAGGAGGAGATGAGCGAGTGAGGGGCTGGTTCGCCTATACACCAGTAAAAGTGAGGTGTTTTTTTTTTGTGCATGGAAAGAGTGAGTCAAGGGCATAGGGTGTCACGAGTCAGATACGTGTATCTTAGGGTGTTGCGTGCGACAAAGGACCAATGTACAATAAGGTTTTGAGGTTATTTTCGCGTTATGATCCAAGGACTGAGACTTAGCTGTGTGATACTTATGACACCTAATTGTATTGCGTTTTCTTTTGAGATCAGATTCTACCTATGGGTGATGTGAGAGTTAGTAACACTTAGGGTATGAACCCACTGGATATGAGAGGGGACAAAACACTTGAGTATTGGTATTGAGGTTTGAGAAGTACTCTATTGTTGAGTATATACTGAGTTGAGACTTTGCGACTACTCCCTGTGTATGACGATCACTCTCACTCTCACTTGTGTGGCTTTCCGATGTATGATGATTTGTGTGGGATTTGTGTGACAAATAACTCATATGCTTATGCCTTGTGAGTGAATGTAAACTGTCTACTCTTCGGTATACTTGTGCGACCTGCCCATGGGCAGATGCTAGAGCCGAGTATAAGGAGAGGGAGCGCAATTTGTCTTGTGAAGGAGAGTTGTAAAGATCCTGAAGGGTCTATGAGTCCATGGGACTCGAAAGCTTATCATGCCAAATGTTTACGTGTCCAAGTTGTGTTGGAGACCCATAAGTTGGTCTCTTGTTCTGTATTGTTGTTATAGTTGGGTTATACCCTACATTATCTGGGAGACTTACCCTCAGGAAAGAAAGATATGTTACATAGGTCATGTGAGAGCCCAAGAAAAGGGATGGCTGGGGGACCTATTGAGTGGGACCTCCCTCATAGGGGGGGATGATTAATGAATTTAATGACATGAAAAGTTGGGTTGGTAATATGAAAGCCCGACGAAAGGAACCAGGTTTTATTGGCCACTCGGTAAAATTTCTTGAGAATGCCGCAAAAGTGTTTGATTTTGAGAGGTGTCGCTGAGATGTGTGACCCTCTTACCCTGATCGGGTTGGAGATCACGGCCTAGTGGGTCTGGCGGTGCTTTTATTTGTGAATGTGGAGAGGTTGCCATGTTTCCCCTATGCTGTCCCATGGGGGACTGGTAAATACCTTTCGTGTGCGAAAGGCCTAGGCGCAGTCTCGCAATAGGCCTGTATTGTTGCGACGCACCATCCGACCGCTTGTGCTAATCTCAAGGCACGTAAGGAAGACCAAGCTAAACCGTAAAGTTTTAGCACCACTAGGGCGCAACCCCTAGGGATGGCTGTGGACCGGCACAACCTGGCCGCGGGCCCACGTCTGGCCACGGGGATAAAGGCTTAAAAGGGTGTGGCCGCCCGGGAAGGTTTTACCTCTATGGAACGGCCTGGGATAGGGGTCGAGTCATATGAGTTTTTTTAGGAAGTCCTGATCTAGTGCTTATCAGGAGAAAGCCTATCGTGGCGCAACCTGCAAGGGCACTACTGCCGAAATAACAATGTGGTAGGTCGTAGATCTGGCTTGATCGCCCAGACTATGGTGGGCCAAGATGGAGACCTAGCACTTCCGTACTAGACTGCGGAAGCGGCTGAGAGAAAGTTGAGGACGCACATAATTATGTGTCTAATTGTGGGGAGTTTTTTTTTAGAGGAAGGCAAAAAGCCTTCACAGGTCTCGGTTAGGGCCCGTGTCCCCAGTTATGACCCTGCTTACCAGGTAAGGGCTGGGGACACCCAACGAGAGGTCGGCGCTTGTCTAAGACAAAGGGACGAGGACGGGTATGAGGGCCTTTGAAATTTATATTGTAGTACCGATGCACAATACACCAGTGTCCTAGTGTCAGGACAATGGAGACCCAGGTTGAAACCCTGACAACATAAAGTTGTGTGGGCATGGATCGCTGGGGGCCTCGAACCAGAGTCTGTCGGCCGATCGGATTGGTTCTCTCTCGTCAGCATTTTTTTTTTTGTGGATGGATTGATAGTTTTTTGATCCTATGAAGCGACGCGGGAGCACCCACCCAATTTAAGCATATAACTAAGCGGAGGAAGAGAAACCAACGAGGATTCCCTTGGTAGCGGCGAGCGAACCGGGAATAGCCCAGACTGAAAATCCGGGGGCTGTGTTGCTCCCTGAATTGTAGTCTTGAGAGGCAACCTCTGCAGCAGGCCGTGTGCAGGTTCCCTGGAAGGGGACGCCGAAGAGGGTGACAGCCCCGTCGACCGTCGGACCCTGCTG